AACTTAAAAAGTATTACATAGTTAAAAATTCAAGAATAATGTGTAACTAAAGATAATAAAAAAAAAAAATGTTTAAATTATTATTATTCTGCAAGTAATTGAGTGGGTTATGATAAAAAAATCACCCTGTATATAATAAAAATTTCATTTGTCGAAAAATGAATTCTCCATTTTATAAAAAAAAAATTAAATTATTTAATTAAATAAAATTAAAATTGCATTAAAAATATTATTAATTTAAATACTAAAAAATATTAAACTCAAAAAGCCACAAAAAATTAATGAAAAACCGCAGATACGTATTTCGGAAATAATGTTATCATTATCAGCACTAAAACCCATACTATGTGTTTTTTGTAGTTTTTTGAGTTTAATATTTTTTAGTTTTTAAATTAATAATATTTTTAATTTTTAGTTTTAATTTTATTTAATTAATTAATCACAAGAGATCAATTTTTATTATTTTTTTTTAAATAATTAATTTTTACTTTCATGTTATAACCTTTTTCTAATTTATATAAATTATTGTATAAATAAATAAATTCTTATACTTGATCAAATTTTCTAATTTAATGTTGAAATCTTATCAATCTAATGTTAAGATTAATTTTTTTTTACTTTAATTTATGTTTTGAAGTCGTAGGAATGTTATATTAAAATAATGTTAATTTTAAACACAGAAAATTTTTAAAATACTTGAATACAAACGTAAATTTGCCATATAAATAAGCTTCATGTTATCGACAAAACAAAGCAACTTGCAGTTGAGAAGAGTACAACTATCTCCATTTATAAAAAGAGTGAATAAAAGGAGAGACAGGTGTCCCAATTGAGGCACTCCCAACGAGGCCAAAAATAAGTCAGACTTAATACTATGTTCTTTAACCCATTAGAATCTATTAAAAAGATAGAAGCGAAACCAACCTAAAAGGAGTTCGCCAAAACCTGATTTTTTAAGTTTTTAATATAATTTTAATTTTAATTTATAATAAAATTTGAATTATAATCTTAATATTCCTGTTATTATATAATTAAATTATTATTTATAAATCATTTTTAATAAAGTAGTATTAATTAATAGTAAGGACTATTAGTTAATCAATTATTGAATAGAAATTACAAGTTTCAGATAAAAAAAAATATTGCTGATCCAGGAAACTTTTTCAAACGATTTTAATATTATGAAAAATATAATGATGTTATCTTATAATTGGAAAATTACAGTTTTATTGAAATTATAATATCCAGAATATAAAATAAGGAATTAATTAATAACAATGAAATACTTAAGCATATTGTAAATACGATTAAATTTTGATGTGAAATGAGATGTTGTAGGTGTTTCGGTTTCAGAGTAGACTGTATAATACGTTTACTTTTAGCTATTTACTTAATAAGAACGAGATAAAACTTAAAACTTTTAACTTAGTTTATAATACTTTATTTTGTATACACATGTTAGCGTGCGCATCATTCCGCCCCTTACGATGACAAGTTCATTGTTCGACTACTATTAATACAATATAAAAAACCGATACGCACCAGTTAAACGCGCTTATCTCATACAATAATAACACACAAAAGAAAATGGATCAAACAGTAGGACTTTTTTTAATGTGTTTTATGATACTTAGTATACTATGTATCATAAAACACATTTCGCATATATACAATTCGTAATAAATATATTACGAAGCAAATATGTGTATAAAAAATATGGTATATAGACATGATTTCTATTAATCCTAATTGACAATATCACATAATGATTACCAGCTCAGCAGTGTTGCGTAAACGAATATATTTTTATTAAAGTTATTTCAAATTACTCGAAATTTTAATATAATGGCAATAGATATATCATCACTATTTAATTTTATACAGTAAAATGGCGGGGAAATAGTTATAAAATAATATGTAACAATTTTAATTTATAATTGGTTAAATGTTCTTAAATAAATGAATAAATCATTTTGATTAATTTTTAGTAATTAAAAATTAATAATAAATGCACTTGTTTGACATTAAGTAAATTATTCTTAATATAGTAAAACTAGATAAATCAAAAACAATTACAAAAGTAATAAAGTAAAAGATTTTTACACTGTCCCTACGATGTAAAGTCATTTAGACCATCTTTAGAGTTTTTAGTTTTATATTTCTTTTATTATTTGTATCCATATTGTTTCATATCTAGAAAAGTTTAAAATAATTAATGTACAAAAAAAAACTATAAACAACAAAAAATAATTATTTATAATATTGTCTCTTTATATCTGCAAAAATAATTGAGATAAAAAATTTTACCATCAAAATATCTTCTACTGTTTAAAAACTTTTGCACCCAAATGTTTGGATCATGCACAAGAGTCCCACCAAAATTTTCTGGCAGTAAATTTTTATCTATACACTCATATAAAGAATCAAGATTACTTCCATGAAAGTGAACCTGTTTTTCATAAAACAAAAAATCGTTTACAAGATTTTAAATATATAAATAACATATAAGAGATTAATCCTACCCGACTACGTAACTTTTCTTTCAGGAATGGTTTTATTATTGAGTACAATGTAAATGCATGCACAGGCTCATTTACAAAATGAACCCCTTCGAATCTTATTGGAAATTTATCCTGAAATGAAACTACATAATTCAGTATCTGATTATTATATATAATTTTGAACTAATAATTAGTCAAATTACCTTAAATTTAATTATTAAAATATAATTTTAATAATATACACAGTTTTTAGTGACGTTTACAAGACATCGAGACCTAAGTTATAACGCTAATAACTTTTAATACAATTATCATTTTGTTAAAATATTGTTAAAAATAATTATTGCTTAAAAATTTTATATTTTTGAGACTATGTTTAAAGCATAATTTTTGTTATATATGATAAATAAAAAAAAATTTAACTAAAAATTGTTTTCCAAAATATTAAAGTAGCCATTTTTTAGCTCTTATCTTAAAAAAAATTTTGATTGGCCAATGATAATTTTAAGAGCACTCATTGAGTTTCAAGCATTTTAATAAATTGATTGAGTATGTAATAGGTTTGGGTATAGCTTGTGCTGATGTAAGTACACTATGCTCATATTCTAAACCACTTTGTATATTAAAATGCATGTAATCTAAGGAATATTTGACTAAAAATTAACATTAACTCATTAAGGTTTTTTATAAGAAAGTGCTATTTTTAATTTTTTTATATTCTTTCTAGTAATATATAATAAAAAATATGCTTGAATGTAGTTTAAGAAGGCAATAATTATATAAAAAAAAACCCAGCACAGGGGGTTCGCGGCATAGTGGTGACGTGGCATAGTTGGATCAAGTATAATGATATCTGACAGTGATTAAAATCACTATCAAAAATAAACGCTTCGATGCAAATCTTTAGATAGTGTTTAATTTTAAAAAAGTTGATGTTTTATTCCAAAAGCTACTTGATCTGCTGGTTCCTTATTAATATCTCGATTAAGATAAAGTATGTCAAATGAAAAAGGGTTTATTAAAAAATATTATTTCTCATAAAAAAATTGTATGGATCCATAAACTTTTCAATAAGTTATAGCATTATAAAGTTAAATATAATATAAATAATAAAATCGAGAATTTTCACACGAAAATAGCATTCGGTAGCCATTTTCGCCGTGAAGACAAGTCCAGAGGTCAAATTTTTTTTTTTCAAATTAAAGTATATTACATTAGCTTTAATTTAAGATATATATAAAAGTGTCAGACTTTCCGGAACATTTTCAAAAGTTATGTTGAAAAAGTAAATTTGTTGTGAAAAAGTTGTCATTTTAAATCCCCCTGTGGGCAAATAAAGGGTCAGATTTACAAAAAAAATATACCAAATGATAATTAAAGACATCAAGCATCTATATAAAAAAAAATAATATTCATATGTTCATTTTTGAAAAAGTAACGGCAGGTTTTAGTAAAAAAAATTGAAAAAATTTCGAAAATTAGCGATTTTTAAATTTGTAATTTTTTTGGAGGTTTCCCCCATTTACGGGGAACGAGGGAAATTTTTTCAATTTTGAAGGGTAATGTCTTCGACTAGATACGATTTGTGATCTTTTGACGTATCGTTGAAAGAAATCCGTTCGGTGAGAGCTGAGAAAAAGTGGTAACAGACACAAAAAAAAAACACATCATAGTAAAACCAATACCTTCTCAGCTTCGCATCGAAGCTAAAAAATCAACGAAATGATGATTAGATTAAAAATTAAAAGTATTGTCAGTTAGATTTATGAGATACTCAGTATAGATATTCTAACAGTGTTATCCTTAGGTAGTTCCCCTAGCCTTAGTATACATAATAATTACTTTCAGCTGTGTATACTTATACCTTAATAAAAGTGATGAAGAACAAAAAGACATTACGCAATTTTAATCGATTAAGAATACAGAATAATTTTTAAATATTGTAATTTACACCAGTTCTTGTTAATTATTAACGTATAATGTACTTACACATTTCAATTAAAAAAAAAAATTATTTTTTTTGATAATTTGATCAAATAAAACTTTATTTAAAATAAATGAAATATAACCTTATTTTTTTGTTGACCTTTTCCTTAATAAAGAATGATAATTTTGAAAATTAATGTTAGTTTTAATTTGTGGGAACTGCTATGGCAGCATAGTAGATCATTCAGTCGTCGCTTTAGCACTGATGTTTAACTGCGATGTTTGCAATTGTTTCCCGGATGAGTGACTTAAAGGGAACTTTATCAATAACAACTCTTTACCACCTTATTGCTTCCCTCAACCTTAATGAGGTTGGTCAGTTGTCTAATTGACAGGAGATGTAAAAATCCACACAAATCATTGCCGACCCCGAATAGTTGGAATAAGGGTTAAGGAAATGATAATAACTGATAGTGAATATTGGTAATCGCAATTTAAAAATAATATAGAAAAACGTATATAGTGAAAGTAACGTACTTGAAGAATATTTGCACCTCTTTTAGCGAAATACGGCGACAAGTACTTGTAATGGTTATAAAAATTAAACCCTTTACAATCGATAATTATCACCATCCCAGCCATCTGAGTTTCAGATTCTTCTGTCAATAGTTCAAACATCATATGATTTACCTTTGCAATATCTTCCAAACTAATATCACGTAATAACTTGCCTTTTAGAAAACAATTATAAAATATTTAAAAAAAATATGATTAGTATATACAAAATATATAAAATATTTTTAACAATGGTTTTCATAGAGCTAAAATTTAGTTCCAAAACAAATACGGTCCAACTTTTTATTGTACTTCATAAAATAGATGCTCTTATTAGTTTAAATATTTTATAATTTTAAAAATCGTATTTTTATTAAAATGTTCTAGTACATTTTTATCAAGACGTAAAATATGATATTTTATCAGAACAATAACCTAGTAGTAACATCAAAATGACCTAACAGTCATCAAATTATATTGTAAATATAAACAATTTGGTTCTTGGTAATGTCATTCCATATTTTAATTAACTATTTATTTAGTTTTTAATTTAGTCTTCAAAAGAAAATATAATAATTCTGTTTCATAATTTTGTTCAAACAAAACGTGAAAAAATTACCTCATTTCTAATTTTTTTTTCTTAGTTCTAGATCCCTTATTTTAATATTTTTTACTACATAATCGTCATAAACTGACATTAAAAAAAAAAGAATACATAAAAGAACTTACTTATTTGAATAATAAAAACTCTTCGTCCTTCATGATCTCTTTTGTGTAGTACAGTTGTAGCACCAGTCTCTAAATGCCGTCTTATGACAGATTTTTCCAAGGAAACATTAAATAATAACGACTCTTTTTTTTTTGCCTTATAATACCTTTGTATCTACAAAGAGTAGGAAAATGTATTTTTAACATATATAAATAAGTTATTTCTCGTATAAAAATTAAAAAATATAATTATTTCTTATAAATAATTCGTTAAAACATTTGTCTGGAGTATGCTTTCTTGTGGCAGTGAAACACGGACAATTGACAAAAAAGACAGAAGCAAACTAGAAGCATTAGAGATATGGATATAGAAAAAAATGAAAAAGACAAAATGGATAGTCAAGAAAAGAAATGAGCAAGTACTAGAAGAAGTGCGAGAAGAAAGACAGCTGATCAAGATGATTGAATCAAGAAAAATAAAGTTAATTGGACACATCATCCAGCACCATGAATTTATAATCAACATATTCGAAGGAAAAATAACTGGAAAGAAACCAAGAGGACGCCCGAGGAAACAATATTTTGAAAATATCCTGGAACTCATGTGCGTCTTTTGTTTCACTGAAAAATTTGGCGTCAAACAGAGAGGAATGGCTTCAACAATGCATTTCCTTTAATAGGTAATGATGATGAAAGAATTTAGATCATAATTAAAAAAAGATTTAAGCAAAAAACTATATTTCTCGTTTGTAAATAAGCAACAGAGCAATACAAATTATAATTTTTCTGTGATGTTATAATATTCTTAAATTTTACCAAATGAAATGATTCAGTCACGTTGAATTTTTTTGGTCTTAAAAATTTTAACAAAAACCCATCATCCAACCTTGAATTGAGATTAATTTCTCCTATAAAACTCACAAATAAAAATTAAAGTAATTTTATGAAATTTATTTAAGTTTTATTATACAATTTTTACTTTTCAAAAACTGCTATTTTATCAAAAAACTATTAAAATTAAAATGTATCCCAAAACAAAATGAAAACAGTCAATTATGGTAATTAAGAGTTAAGTTTAAAACGACTATAACATTTTTTAAAATGCTTAGATCAAAACGAAATTCTAACTGGCAATATATTTGACAATTACCTTCTTCAAATAAACATTTTCGAAATTTAAGTACAGATTTAACCATTGTAATATATCTTTTCAATTTTTTTTTTCTTTACAATATTTAAAAATATTTCAGAAAAAAGAATGTTAAAACTCAAATAATAAAAAATTTTATTAATTAAAAAATTATTTATTTAATAATTTTATATGATTCTTTTCTTAAGATTGTTAAAGAAAAGAATATTATGTAATTAAAAAAAAATTTTCAATTACTTTTTGTATAAGTAACCACCAGACACAAAAATTAAGTAATTATTATTATCGTGTTTTTTAATAAGAACATTACCTCTTACCTTTTATTAATTCTCGTAATTGTTGTATAGGTTTTTGTACATTTTCAGGTTCATTTATTTCTTTCTTAACTTTAAGTATCCACTCATTTTGCATTGTTTCCATTGTTCTATGATTATTTAGTTTATGCATAGGTATGTTAATATTATTATTTTTTGTATTTTATATACAATCAAATACTAGTAATACGTTAAACCAATATTTTGTTGTGCTGAAAAAAAAATGAATTATAATATTATAATAATAGTAAAAATTTCAATATAGCAACAATGAAAACCGGACGCTGATAAAATCAAGAAAATACTAAAATAGCAAAATAGCATTTCTATCATTAATGTAGCCAAATGCGTGAAGGCAACCATAAACAATCAACAATGTCAAACTGTTGAATATAATGTTTTATTAAATTTTTAATATTTTGGTAAAAAGCTATACTCACTCCAATAAATTTAACTAATTAGCTTTAATTTTTATGAGAAAATTTGCTTTCATCCAATATTTATTGCTATATTAAAATTATAAAAATGTACATTTTATTCAAGAATTATATATGGTTGTTGAGATTTAATATGTATTAAATTTATTTATTAAATGTTATTCTTATTATAACTTAAATTTTGTTGTATTTCAAGGTTATTAGATAAAGTTTTATTAATTATTATATTTTATCTAATAACCAATGTGGATTTATTAAGGTGTTTAAACTTCCTTTTTACCACGTTCAAATAATATGATCGAAACGATATACAAATTATATTGACCGCTACGAGCGCTGTCTAACTGAAAAAGGCTAAAAAATCTGCGAAGTCATATAAGATTTATATTTTATATTAAATTTTTTGTTCAATTATTCACGGAAAATTGTGTAAGCTCTAATAGATTAGCGAATAGATTGAATGTCTTAATTTTCACATTATTTTGTATATAGTGTTTAAAATGAACCTTATTTCCAATTATTTTGTAAAAGTAATATCAACTTATTAGTTATTCATATTATAAGTACCCATATAGTCAATTAATTTATGTATTAAGATTAATTTTTAATTAAATATTAAACATCAATTGTATTTCGAAGTATATTAATATTATCTTTTTTTTATAAATATATGAGTATCATACAAATTATTATTAAATAACAAATAATAAACAATATATTAATCTTTATTTTTAAGGTTTTTTTTTAATACAACTATTTTATTGTGCCTTTTACAAGCAAATATCATTTTTTTATTTAAATAAAAGTTGAACATTTATTAGTCAATTGATTCTAGTGATTTAAATAACCAACTTTTGAATAAATGCTATTTATTTTGACTTTATCCACTACTAAAAATGTATAATTAAATTCAAGGGAAGAAAAGTGGAAACTTCTAAATATATTTATAAGTTTAAACTGTAATAACTTGTATACAAGTTATTACATTTTATGTAAATATTTTAACTTAATCTCATAAATTACTACTCATTATCTAATATACGTTTTTTCACATTATGATTTTCTAGGACCTTTAAAATAGTTTCTATATATTAAACTTATCAGCTATTCTGATGGAAGTAGAAGATAACCTTTACTACTCATATTTATAAAATATTGAATCTTATATTATATCTTATATTAAGATTGTATTTGTTTTTAAATAAAATATTGTAATGTAATACTTACTATAGTGTAAGCACATAAGTGAGAGGTTTAAATCTTTTGGTAAATGGTCTATTAATAGTCCATTAATTTTCATATTAATTAATTAATATGAACATTTTATGAAATAGTAAGAAAAATGTGTTTCAGTTGCAATGTATAATTCTTTGAACTCCTTCTTAGGTATATATTATCCAACTACTTCGGTCATTTTAGTTTAAGTTTCCTATATTTTAAAAAATTTTATAAAGTATCCTACGACACACAGGGTCTCGCTAAATATAAATCTGTCCTTAAATAGGCCGTATAGGCATCAAAACATGTGACAATAGGGCAGGTATAACGATGCAACAGAATTTCGAAAAAATTTTAATGAAAAAGCCTGATAAATTCCTAATAGAATTATATTACTTGATAACTTAACAATCCATTTGGAAAATTTATGAATAAAAGTGCGCTGCAAACAATTTTGAGCAATATAATCGAAATTATAGACAAAAAAGTTTTCTTATATAGTAATTTAAAAAAAAAAATGTATAATAATTTTCGATGCAAATCATCCCCTTTACACGTATTACCATTCACCACGAGTGGTTGTTAAACAAAAGATACCCGTTTTATTGTACCATTTTATACATAGTGTTTCTGATATACTGCGCAAATACATCCGCGCGACGACACGTGATGTGTTGGTCGGCAGTTGGACTTAAGAATTGCAATAAAATATCTATTACAAAACATCGATTATTCTAGAAAAAAAATCAATGTTAATATTTGATATTTCGCATGATGCAATCATGTTAAAAAGGAATGTAGTTTGTATACTTAATTTGAAAAAACCACACCATAAAAATTTAATTTTGACATTGACAATGTATTAAATATCAATAGTTTATTTAAGAAGTTGGAAGCAGCCATTAACTGCTTATAATCCCATTTAATTTGTATTCTTGTAGAACAGTAATTATAATAAATGTATTATAACTAGTCCTATAATAAGGAACATATACAAATGACAACAAATAATAAAAATTCTTAATATTGTTTACAATTTTTACATGAGTTCTTTAAGGAGTTTTGAAACTGATTCTAAATCTGGTTACAAATTCTTTCTATCATACCTAGTTTTTGAGTTAATTACTAATAAGTAATTCAACGATAATTGCACAGTATATTTATCATTAGATAAAATAATTTTTTTATTTATTTTTCAACTTTTTTAGAATGATTTCATGATGTTTAATAAGAATTGGGCTAAATTTGAAGTTGTTCAATCAAGTTCAACAGATATTTTAGATCTTTAAAGATAAGTTTGAGTGTCATTTTTGGTAAAAAAGTTAAAGTTTCAAGTATATATATTTTTTTAATTTAACTTACAATTATTATACTTTGACCATCAATGAGATAATTTTATAAGGGTTTTAAAAACATCAACTTTGAGCATTTTGAATAAAAGCAGAAAAATCACTGTTTATAAAAACATACAGAAAAAGGTTGGAATTCCCAAGAAAAATCTTTTTTTTTTTATATTTTTCCAGTATTGTTTTATTTTGAAATAATTAAAATAATAATATAATATAATATAAATATACTACTGTTTTTAAATATATCCAGATGTCTAGAATGTATTATTTTTATCAGCTTTAGGGATTGATATTGCGGTACTTTGTTTTCATACAAAGAGGTTATTTCCTAAGCTCCAAATTGCATTATATATTTCAAATAGGTGTTGTTTACCATAAGGAGGAAGATTATAGTATGCTGTCAAGTCCTGGACTTTTAGTTTTGCTTTTTTTAAAGAGATTTTTCAAATTCACTTATAGTTAATTCCAAATTTAAATATAGTTGATATAGACCATATTTTTCAATAGTTGATATTTTGAGAAAAGAAATTTCTGTTTCTGAAATCTGCATTAAAGTCTTCTGTAATTTTAAAAATATTTGCCCAACTTGAAATTATTGTCGATCTGACAATTAGATTATTATCTATGAGTAAATGGATATTATTAGAGTTATTAATTTCTTTTGAAGAGAGGATTTTATTCCATGTGTATTTAGGATCTATTTGAGAATTAATATTTGTCAGGATATATGAAGAGTGAATGTGTCAAACGTTCTATGTGCCAAAAAAATATTTGTTCAGAAAACACAAAAAACATCACAAATTAAAAATTTTCTTATAATTTTGTATAAAAATATATGTTATGCTATATTTACACTATATTAATAGCCTCGTAAATTTCTATTATTTTATTTTGTCATTTCATATTAGTATAAATTAAACATTTGCTAATGACAGTTCCAAGTGCCAAGTATTATAATATTAAAGTTCCAAGTTTCAAATAATGTGATAATATTATCGTTCCAAGTACCAATATTTTATTATAGATAATAGAAAATCATTCTTTATTTTATTAAGACTTCATATATATTTTTATAAAATATGTAAAAAAATCAACACTTTTTTTGAGTATCACAAATTGAAAAATAAATGTACAAACTTAAATAAAAAATACTCTTAATCTAACATGACATTGTCAGTAAATCTCAAAACGTAAAATAAAATTTTTTCTTCATATAAAAATGTAACAAGAAAAGAAAACAGTAGCTTTCTTGAGTATCACAAATTGAAAAATAAATTAACAAACCTAATAATAATTTAAAAAAAAATTTAGATTAAACATAATTAGAACATAGCAACATCATAATAAATAGCAAAAAAAATTAATTCATGACGTTATATTTTTATAGAAGTTTCTGTGCTTATCAGGTAAAAAAGGAATCATGGCCAACAAATCTTTTTTCTTCTCTGACGACAATGTGGGTTTCGGTATAGGTATAAATGTCTGATTTTTAAGTTGGTCTATAGTAGCATTTCTTTTAAAAACGTTAAAATCTTTCCAAAGTTCTTCATCTGAAAATGTTTTTTTATAATAGATTTTTTTGGGAGTTAAAAATGAAACTTTAATCATCGAACATTGGAAACTTGGTTGTGTTAAAAAAATTGTTAGCAATGTCTTTAAATGAAAAAAAGTTGTTTTCATCCATCGGAATAACTCGAAATGGATTTATCAACTTCGCTGCTCTAACCATTTCTTGTAAATCAGAAGGAGTGAAATTTTGAAAAACTCTACGTCTCTTTTCGATAATAGCGAAATCACGATCACAAGCCAAGAGAGAGTGGCCACTTATCAAAAATTTTTGTATAATCTCATCAAATATCCCCATATTTATTAAATATAACATCAAAACTACTAACGTTTTATTTTTATTTTGGCCAGCACAGTTGTCTGACCATATAATTAGTTTTTTGCGATTTATCGTATTTTCGTTTTTGTTAATAACTTGAAAAAGACAAGAAGCGATTTCTGAGCTTCCACGAGAAGCAATACTTTCATCCCACATATACATAAAGGCTGTATTGCTGTCACCGAGATGTATTCCAAAGTTATAACAACTAAGTTGACGCTTTCCTGAATTGTATTATTGCTTTTCCTGGTCGCATACGATTTTCCACTAATTCTTTTTTTACCACTTCGTAAAATATGTATACTTTCAGTATCCATAATAACACAATTAAACAAATGAAAAAGAAAACTTAACGACTACAACAACACCAGTATTAGTTATTTTGAAATATAACGGACTATATTATAATATTGTAATCGTCAAACTATTATATTCGCCCAAGGCACTTAGAACGTACAAGTAACAAAGGGCATGTCTCACAGAACAAATACAATCTATGAACGCAATTTTGTACAATTTTGACACTTGAAACACATACAAGATTGTGACCTTTGGCTCATAGAACATAAATTAGAAATAAAACAATTTTTCAATTTTTTGGCACATAGAACGTTTGACACATTCACTCTTCATATATCATTGTAGTTGGGACGTTGTTCACAGGGTCAATTTTTTCTACTTTTATGACAATTAAGAAAGCAAAAATGTTCAAGTTAGGTTTTATGTGTCCATTTATAATTTTATAACAAATTTTTATATTGTTTGTTGTTGCCGCTAGTAATTTTGTTTAGTATTGAGATATGATAACTATTATACATGTGATATACCTTGTCATTCTATTTTTGTGATAAATATCTGTTGCACAATGCTTGATAAATTAATGGCTAATAAATTACCATTAACAGGATTTAGTCTGATCGGTTCACCATCACTAATAATGATTAAATTGACGTAATTAAAAAAATTAAAAATAAGTTTATCTGCCCTACTGCCCACAGTGAGGGATTTAAAATGTCAACTTTTTCACAAAAAATTTACTTTTACAACTTAACTTTTGAAAATGTTCCGGAAAGTATGACACTTTTATATATATCTTAAATTATAGCTAATGTAATGTACATTATTATGAAAAAAAAAATTTCGGACTTTATATTGTCTTCACAGTGAAAATGGCTACCAAATGCTATTTTTGTGTGAAAATTCTCGATTTTATTTTTTACATTTTAAATTTTATAATGCTATAACTTATTGAAAAGTGTATGGATCAATACAATTGTTTTATGAGAAATAATATTTATATCCCTTTTTTATTCGACATACTTTATCTTAATCAGGATATAAATAAGGAAATAGCAGATCATGTAGCTTTTGGAATAATCCACCAATTTTTTAAAATTAAACACTATCTAAAGATTTGCATCAAAGCTTTTTTTTTTTATAGTTATTTTAATCACTGTCAGATATCATATGACTTGATCCAACTATACCAAGTTACCACTGTACCACAGACCTCCTGTGCTGGGTTTTTTTATTTGTGTTTTAACAATTTTTTAAAGAGATTTTTTTTGTTCATCAATATTTAGAAAAATTAGCGATGAAAATTAAAAAGGCCATCAAAATATTATTTATCGCTATTAGGATTTATTAAAAAATCCAAATAACAAATAGGTATTTTACGTTTCGTAATAGGTTTCTTGCAAGCAAATGCAGCTAATGAAGAATAATTTTGTATAATAATATTTTAATTATTTTGTTTTCTTTAACAAAACCATTCAGTTAAATTGTAGCAATTTAATATATTTTTATTCATTATATTCAAATTTACGTTTTGATATAGAAGACTAAAATCTGTATTAAATTTATGTGAAAATATAATATAATAACCTGTATAAAAATTTTATATTTCACATTTTGTATTACTAAATATTAATTTGGTTTTAAAATCATACATAAATATAATATCATACAAATATTTTAGATGAATGTAAAATTATTATGTCAATTCAAAAATATCTTGTAAGACTATCTGACCAGTTATGTTCAGTATAAAATAATTTTGGCTAATATTATAACGGTCTAATATTTTATATTGTTTATTTTTACTGTTAAATTGTTAAGTTTATTTAATTTTATGCTATGAATAGTATAAATAAAAATAAAAAATGAACTCAATAGAAATACTAAATGACCTAGATGATCAAAAAGGACAGCCAAATGTAGGTATTAAATATTAAAAATATTTAGTTTGTGTAAAAATATTTACATGGTTTAAGGCGTGTAAGGACTCAGCAGCACAGTTGCATAAAGCAATCATGTTGAACCGCGAAACAGATGAAATGATCCCAAAAATGATGATTTTAGATTCAAAAGTAAAAATAGTTATATTTTTAAGCTTTATATATAATTAGAAAAAAATCATAACTTAATATTTAAAGTTGTAATCAATAAAATTTGTAAAAAAAATTTTTAATTTATAATTTTAATCAAAAATCACAATTAATATTCAAAGGGTCTTTTTCTAAAAAAATTAAAAACTATTTTAATTGTTTTTGATTACGATTAATTATGTATACTACACCATATTTTTTTGTTAAATAATGATTTTTTCATTAATATATATAATAAAATTGAATTTATTTTATAAATCATTGTAAATATGATGTTATTGTAAGAAAAAATTATTCCATAGGTTAGATTTTTGGGGTATCTTTCAAAAGAGGACCTATTATTAGTTTTTTTACTTATAATGTAGAATGGTCTAAATAAAATTTTGTCAGAACGATAACCAATATTGTATTATTACTTTTAGAGTAGTTATAATTTTTAGCTATAGGCAAGCGGCGTGCAAAACGTATATTTAATAAATCATATTGTATACAGATAAAACCAAGTTTATCACAATGTCAATCAGTATCTTCCTCGGACATACTATCATCAAGTACTTGTGAAGAAGAAATTAAAACGTAACTTAGTAATATTTCTTACATGACAAACAACAGTAGCACTATACTTTAAATTACATATTTTATAGAGAATGTGAACCTGTACAAAATGTAAAGTCAGTCCAATGTCAAAAATCGCATGACAGCATGATTTTAAAATTGAAAAACGACGTTTGTGAATTAAGTGAGCAGTTAAAAAAAATTATTCATGAAAATCATTGTTTACACCTTCAACTTAATAAAACTGTATTTAATTTGAACTACGTGTTATTCTTACATAATTAAAGATCAATTTTGAATTATTTTTAGATTGACAGAAATATGTTGCTGAAAGAGGCTTTGAAGCGACCGGTAAAATAATATTTTTTTAATATTTTTAATAAAAAATTAGTGGATATAAAAACAAATTCTTAAGATTATTGGTTTATCCATTGAAAATGAAGCTATTTTTAGATGATGATAATAAACTTACTATCATATAAAGGCTAATTGATTTTTAGATGACAATTTTTTTAGCTTCAGTGGAAAGCTGAGAAGATATAGTTTTACATTTTTCATGAGTTTATTTTTTTATTGTCATCACTTTTTTCTCAGCTTCCACTGAACTGATTTTGATCAATAATACATCTAAAGATCAAATATTCTATCTAAGTAAAGAAACAACTTACTTTGCTCTCCGTAAATAGGATAATCCCCAACAAAATAATAGTTTAAAAAATTTTGCAAAATTTCGTTATTTTACATAAGCCTACTAAAAATTTTTTTTAAATGAATAAATCTAAGTAAAAACTTGTTGATAGCTCATTAGATATGTTCCTTTATAAATATATATTTTTTTTTGGTGAACCCATCCTTTTACGTACCCACAATATTTCAAAATAAGAGCTTTTCAACTTAAATATTGAAAATGTCTTGGAAATTTTACGTTTTTTAGTTATATATTAAATTAAAGTATATGTTATTTTCTATATGATAAATAACCTCGATACCCTATTTTTATTTTAAATGATTAAAAAACTTACTATCTTGGTGTTATTGTTCACAATTTTGATCTCCAATAACTTTTTGGTAATAGTATGAAGCAATACATTTTTTTTGTGCTTTATTTACAGAGTGATTAATTTATTATAAACCACTTAATTAATCAAACACTAAAAATTATACTAAAGATTTTTTTTTTAATTTAAAGTAATGTTTTTTTCAATTTATCAATCATGAAGTATTTTTATGTTTATTTTATTAATGATAAAAATTTTTCATATGACAATGTGCACGATTATTAATTCGTTTATTTAATAGATAAAGATTTGATTTATAAAATTACTGGTCGATAACAACTTTTGGACTAGTATTTCGAAAGTAATTGAAATTTTTATAACTAAGCAGGAGATAGAGAGTAGGCAAGAATTTATCAGTGATAAAAAAAAACAACAACTGCAGCTTAAAATTTAAATCATACTTCATTTTCCTTTTCCTTGCCTTAATCCGAACCCTTATCCTAAACTTCCACTTAATATGATCTTCCACATCATCTACGCTCACATCAGCCGTAATCGAAACTCATTCTATTACCTCTTCTTTCTTCAATATTCATTTCTATAACTATAACATTTCTATAATTATTGGTATCTATACAATGAGTCATCGGTATAGAAATATAGAAGTGGAAATATTTTTTAGCACTTCCCGTTATTACAAATAGCTTCTCTAAAAAAAAAATATTTAAATGTTGTTTATTTTATATACAAATATTTATATTTATAAATATTTTTAAAGAGGATTTTTGAAAATGTAATGGTCATTAACCATATAGATAATAAGGTTTCCCCTTACCGAAAATTATGTTCTATCCAATAATAGCTCATGAAAAAATAGCAATTTTAAATAGCACTATACTAATATCAACTAACGTATAGTGATATTAATTACTATCAAGTTTCAATCTATAATATGGTCCCCCTATGCCAAAACTCCACTGTGTAGTATCTCGACTGTACTGAGCTTTTATTATTTAACTTAAAATGTAGGCTTACCATAGTTAATTGGGTGAAGCTTAGCTCTTTAAGCCTCTTGGGTACGTTATTAAATTAAAAATTATTTTTGAAAAACTGAACTCTCCTATTATTTAAAAATAATTATAATGAATTTTAGGCACCTTTCAAAAAGACTGCTAAAGGATTTCGATTTCCTGGCAAAATAGAAATGGTATACAATTTTTCAGAATTTTATACACTAAATTTAAAACTGAAAGGCTAATCATTATTCCGCAGGAAGAAAAACTAAAAAATATGAAAGAAGAAATATTACATCTTAACAATCAAATTAAAGAAATTAAAAATAATCAACAAAAAATTAAATTGGCTAAAGAGTTTTTTGACCAATATAGTGCATTAGCATCTAAATGCGAGGTAAATTAAGATATATGGCAATATATATATAAATATATATTTAACAACAATATGATTATGTTTTTAGTATTAATAAAAACAATGATATATGTATGATCATTATACAAAATAATTTTTTTGCTCCAAATACTGTAAATTTTATTTACTTATTGAATATAAGTGTAATTAAAAATATTTACATTTTTATTTTATTGTTAAAATTATATTATATATAGTATTTTTTTTATTCTAAATAATTAACTACTCAATATTAACCACTTGATTATTTAAATTGTTCATTAGTTAAACATGTTTTTCAATTTAAATTTGTGTTATAAAATGAAAAAATTAATAAAATTCTAATTTTTAATTTAACTGGTAGTTTTAATCACAAAAGATAATATTTTAACTTTGAAACTGATTTTTTGTGTATTTTACAACACTATATGTAATAAGAAATCATTAATGTGTATTACGAAATTAAATAATTTAAAACCGTCTTTTCATGTAAATTACATATTTGATAATATTTTTTTGCCATCAACCAAAAAACATTATGAATTTTGTATAAAATCTCAATAACAGGAGTTTGAGGATAACAAGTTAACGACACTCAAAAAACAAAAATATATGATACAAAAATTAGGTACTGTTAAAATTTCTTTAAAAATATAATGATTGTGCGTCAAACAATTTAAAAAAATGTTAAATATAAAATTTGAATAAAATTAAAAAAGAAGTTTTAATAGACCCCAAGCTAATATATTGATGGAAAAGCTAGGAAGTAGGTCCACAACCGAGGGCCTCGTTGAATCTACCACTAGCTCTACTTGATTACTAAAAATATAAGAAATAATGTTTAAATAACAATTTGTTTTCAATATATAAAAAATAAATAAGTAAATAAGAATAGACATTTTTTATAGTGTAATCACATTTCACCATGTTCAAAAGAGAACTTGGACGAAATCATAAGAATAAAAACAGAACAAATTTTGCAATCCAAAAACCAAAATACGTAAGATCTTCTATTTAATTTTAAAATCTTTATTTCTTAAATAATTTATTTTTAATATACAGATTAAAATCTGAGGAATTGAAAATGTTAAAAGACGATTTAGAGTGCTCTGTAAGTGAAAGTAGAGAAACATTTGACAAAATCGGCGAATCTCGTTCTGAATTATCTAAAATAAATTCACAAATTGACCAGTTATCAAAAGTTAGTAAAAAGCCAAAATTTATACTTCAACAGAAATTATAACTCAAGTATATTTTCTCTTCATTCTTGCGGAAAGTATGGAGGAAAGAATCATTTCCTTTATTCTTCTTTAATATTTAAAAAGTCTATTTTAATATTAGAAAAGTTGTCTATTCTAATTCTACAAAATTATTGCAAGACTACTCTAGAAATATTCGATACGTCGTTTAAAAAAGAAACACTTATTCGTAATTAACTATAATAATATGCTCTATACGTAAAACTTATAATCTTACATCATTATAAATACCAATTATATTTTTAATACTTTTAAACAGAACTCGGAATTTGATTTAGATATAGATGAAGAAGGATTGAAAAAAACATTAAAAAAGATTTTGGAAGAAGTAGACATTTTAGAGTTAACAATCCGAAATTGTGGCGACGAAATGTATGAATGTGAAATAAGTGTAAGATATTTTATTATTTATTGTACTAATGAAATTAATCTTGATATTAAAAATAAAAAATATCAAATTCAATTGATGATTAATCTATTAATTTTAATAATTTTTTGATTATGAACTAAAAAATTAATAGTCATTTTTTTTATCATTTAATTTTAGTTTATTAATAATGTATAATATATCAATTTTTTAGCTTCCATACGTAGTATAAAATCATTTGATTTTAATCTATTATGTTAATTTTTTTGGTTCACTACAGACGATATCTTCACTTATATTGAAATGATTTTAATAAACAATACGTCAAAATATCCACAAATCGTATCTACTTGATGCTATAATTGCTATAATTTTAAACATTTTTCCTCAACCTTGGTTGTAAACAAAAATTTACTGAAATACAGTTGTTATAAAACAATCAATGTTAATATTTTTAGTTGAAATTTATATTGAAATGTCTTTTTGAAAACTAAACAAGTTATTGTGGAATTTTTTATTTATAATACTTCTGCCATTTTTTTGTTCTCAATTTTTGATAATTGTCTAAAAACCTAACAACTTGAAACCTACTTTAAATTAAAACAAATACAATGTGTTAATAAACACAAAGATAACAATTTGAAGTGTTTTTCATAACAACGAAGCAACATTAATATCGTTCAATACATATATATGTTAAATTTAAAAATTTTTTTTAAATACTCATCGAAGCGTTTTACGAAAATTATTTTAATCAATGTCAGGTTTTAATATATATACTAACTGAAAAATACCTTAATTTTGTTACGACGGATCCCGACTGTACTTAACATTTTTATTTATTTTATTCTACTCAACAGTACTGTTAATATTATTATAAATAGAAATAGTGTGTGGTGTAGCGCAGTAGATCATCCAATTGCCGCCTTAGCACTGAAGTTTAGCTGTTAGTTTCTGAATGTGTGACCATACAAATACTCTAATAATGATAACACATTGCCCCTTTGATGGTTTCCTCGGACATAATGAGGTTGTATCAGGTTGACAGCCAGTATATAAATCCTGTCAAATCATTATAAAATAAATCAACCTCAAATAGTTGGCATAGGGACAAAGGAGATAAGGCTAATGAGAAATATAAAAGTACATATAATAAAAAAATTATATTAATTTAAAAAAAAAAAACAAATATTTACTTCGTCCTAAATTTAAATGAAATTTCATAAATATTTATTGAATAATCAAATTTTTAACTTCAATTAACAACATATTTTTAATCAATTTCTTCAAAGTAACACTGAAATGCTTGTTTTTTTTTACCTACTTAAATATCAATAAATTTTAATGTTGTGAATTTAGACTTCCAAGATAAAGGAAGAAACGCAAGAAATTGAAAAATCAAATAAAAATCTCTATGATAAAATTCAAGAATCACAAGAAATGTTTGAATCTAATTGTGAGGAGATGCGTGTAAGATATACAAAGTGTTCAATAGGTAAGGAAACAGGTTAATTGTTACAAACAATGAGAACAATAAAAACCAGTTTCCTCACTAACTGAACACCTATATAGTTAAGTTCTGCATAGTTTAGTTGAGCCAGTGCATACCGAATATAACCATATAAGTATGGATTGGTCCAATATTTTAATTTTTTTAATAAAACATCTGATGAAAATTATTCTAACTAAACTATTCTACATTTTTTAATATTAACTAAAAATATATCAGTCCGATCTAATAAGTAATATATTAGATAATAAAATTTAATTTTAGCTTTGATCCTAAGATGAGAAGGAATTAATTTTACTATGAAGGAGTTTAAATTGTGTCTCTCTCCCATTTATTTTAACTCTCACTAAAACAATTTTTTCAACAATGCGTTAAAAAACCTCAAATTTAATCTTGTTCAAAATATTACACTAAAAATTAAAAACAAAAATCCTTTATTCACTGTATTTAAGTATAATTAAAAAAATAAGGATTTTTAAAATTTGTTAATTTTGACATTCTTTAAACTTATTTTGCTTAAAACAACCATTAATATATTAAAAATGAATAAATCAAAAGAAAAAAAAATCCAGCACAGTGGGGTCGCGGCACAGTTGGAACGTTAAAATCACTATTATAAGAAATGCTTCGATGCAAATCTGTAGATTTGACTGTTTAATTCTAAGAAATTGGTGGATAATTACAAAAGCAACATCAACTTCTATTTCCTTAATTATATCCAGATTAGAAATTTTTAGATTCAAAAATATAATATATAATTGTTATAATTTATTATTGATTTTGATTTTTAATATGTTTAAAGTAATCATTTTAAACCTACTTTTTTTTGTACTTTGAAGTGAAAGTTTATAATGAAAAAAATGAATTTATTATCATAATTTTTAGATTAACTTGCAAATTAGAAATTAACATCATTAAATAGAAAAAAATGGTATTGTTAAGATTAATATGCAGTCGAGAAATTTTATAATAACTATTTACAGTAAATTTAGCAGAAAAGATCAATATTTTTTGCATTTTTACCCTAATATATCACTAAATAAAGATCATAGTAATAATTTCTATTTAACTTTTGGCGTTTTAAAACATTCTACAATTGAATTATTTAGAATTTAGTTAATTTTAATGATTTACTTTAACTAAAAAAACCAATAAAAAAAAATGTTAAAATGGTTTACTCAATTGAGCGTATTATGAAATTTGATTATAATTGTAAAAATCCATCGTTAAATTCAGGTGAAATTAAAAATCTTTTTTTTAGATTATAATTTATATAGCAACATGCTAAAAAAAATTTGGAATATTACAGACTGGTAGTAGCACACACAAATAGAGATAAAAAATTAATAAATTACAAAGTAAAATTATTTACTTTTGTAGTTGAATACTTTTAGCTTGGATGCGAAGCTGAGAAGGTATTGGTTTTACTATGCGTTTTTTTTTTTTTTGTGTCTGTTACCACTTTTTCTCAGCTCTCACTGAACCGATTTCTTTTAATGATATGTCAAAAGATCACAAATCGTATCTAGTCGAAGACATTACCCTCAAAAATTGAAAACATTTTCCTCGTTCCCCGTAAACGGGTAAAATCCCCCCAAAAAATATAAATTTAAAAATCGCTAATTTTTGACATTTTTTAAATTTTTTTAAATTAAAACTGCCATAACTTTTTTAAAAATGGCCAATACAATATAATTTTATTTTTATAGATACCTTAGGTATTTCACTATCATTTGATATATTCGTATGAATATTTGACTATTAACCTGCCCACAGGAAGGATTTAAAAATGGTAACTTTTTCACAAAAAATTAACTTTTGAAAATGTTCCGGACTGACACTTTTATATATATATATTAAATTAAAGCTTATGTAATATATTTTATTATGGAAAAAAAAATCGGACTTCATTTTGTCTTCGCGGTAAAAATAGTTACCTAATGCTATTTTTGTGTGAAAATTTTCGATTTTATATTTTACATTTTTAACTTAATAATGGTGTAACTTACTGAAAAGTTTATGGATCAACACAATTTTTTTATGAGAAATAATATTTATATCCTTCTTTTTCATTCGATATACTTTATCTTAATCAGGATATAAATTAAGAAATAGCAGATCATGTAGCTTTTGGAATAATCTACCAATTTTTTTAAATTAAACACTATCTAAAGATTTACATCGAAGCGTTTTTTGTTTATAGTAATTTTAATCTCTGTCAGATATCATTATACTTGATCCAACTATGCCACGTCACCACTGTGCCGCGACCCCCTCTATGCTGGGTTTTATTATATCAAATCTTATTCGACAATAAATACTTTAAAATTATTAGAAATGAATGATTCTAATTGTTTGGATGGATAAAGCTTTTTAAGCTACATTTTATTTGATTAAGGAATTTTTTTTCAATTTTTAAGGGTAACTAAATACGAATTTTAATCATTTGACTTATCGTTGAAAAAAGTAGATTAAAAAAAGGTTGGAAAAATAAATCGCAGCCACATAAAAAACACATAGTAAAATAATATTATCATAAATAAAAAATTTCTTCTCACGAGGGGAGACTAGAGTAATAGGATCCTTGATATTTATTAAAGTTATTGAAGTTATTGAAACTAAATGAGATAAAAGTCAAATGATTTGAAAATTTTTTTCTAACTCAAACAAAATTCTACATTATCGCGATTGCGACAGGCGGATTTGAACCTCGTACCCTTAGCGTGAAAGACACAAGTGTTACCAATTCGGCAACTGTACGTCGCTTTCATTGGATGATAAAATTGGCAATTTAAGCTGATTCAAATTTTAAAGTTACATGTTTGACTTTAAAAAATTTAAATAAGTTTAACTTCTTATGTCTTATGAACTTTATTCTAAGTCAATTAAATTATATAATATTCATGAAAGTCAGTGTATTCCCTTATATAAAATAAAATACAAAACTCAGAATTTTAACAAAAAAATTGCATATTTTTGAATATGGTAGCTATTTACATCAAGAAGAAAATCTATATTTCGAAATTTTTTTTTTTTCACATTAAAGTATATAATATAAGCTTTAATTTAAGATTAAATAAAAGTGCCAATATTTCCGGAACATTTTTAAATATAAAAGCTTAACTTGAGTGTAAAAATTGTTTTATTGAATCGCCCCTGTGAGCAGGTTTAGAGTTAGATTTTCAAAAACACGAAAGAAAAATATCTAAGGTTTCAAAATAAAAAAAAATGATTTTAATTTTTGTTTTTTCAAATTGTTATGGCAGGTTTAAGTATTAAAATATTTTATGTTAAACAGTGATTTTTACATAAAAGTTACTTTTTTCGTGGAATTCGACGCCCTTTTCCTATAGAAGAAAAGGTGGTCGGGACAAATTTTTTTTTTTCATTTTATAGTACATAAAATAAGCTTTAATTTTATATATGTTTAAAGGATGCAGTATTTCCGGAACACTTTCAAAAGTTAAGTTGAAAAAGTTGAGTTTTATTTTAAATCCCCCCTGTGAGCAAATTAAATGTTAGATTTTCAAAAAAATGATATCAAATAAAAGGAAAATATCTAAGGTATCGATATAAAAAAAAGTTAAGTTGATTTGTTAATTTTTGAAAAAGTTATGATAGATTTAAGAAAGAAAAAATGACGAAATTTTCCAATTTTAAAAATTGTAATTTTTTTGGAGATTTCCCCCATTTACGGAGAACAAAACCCATTACAGTTGGGTCGATCTTTACAATTTTTAATACCCATCCAATAAGTATATTTAAAAAAAAGTCTGTGCTTTTAAAAACAAAAAAATTGTCTAGCTACCAATGGCCTATGATAAATAGCAATTTCAATTTCATAACTAGAATTATTAATTAAAATATGTTAAATTTAAGCTTATATTACATATAGCTTTATGCTAAATTTCATATTTATAGTATATATATTCATGTATTATACTTATAAATAAGAGTTATAATCAAGATATAATTAAGGAAATAGGAGTTAATGTAACTTTTAAAATAATTCAACAATTCTTTTTAAAAATTTTAAACTATCTACAGATTTGCATCGTAACGTTTTTTATGGTAGTGATTTTAATCACTGTCAGATATCAACTTTACTTTCCCCAACTTTGTCATCTGGACATGCCTATACATAACTCAAACATGTAATTAGGTAAAATATATAAATATTACACATGTTTGAAAATATAATAACAATTAAAGGAAATCTACCAAAAACAATTAGAACAAGTAACCGCTATCCCGGTTCTTTTAAGCGCCACTCAAAGAAAACTACAAAACATTGTTGATATGAGGGTATTAACAGGAGAAACTTGTGAGCATCTTAAAAATGAACTAAATGAAGAACAAAAAAATTCAAAGCCCCACCAGGTTGTTATTTTAATTTTACTTAAAATTTAACTAACGAAATTTTTTACTATATTTTTAACTTTAAGTGTCCTATAAAAGAAAAAGAACAAGTAGAAGCACATATTAAATTATTAAATGCACATTTAGAGATGGAAAATAATGAACTTGAGTAAAATAATATGTATTGAATATTATTATTTTATGACTAAAAGCAGCATGTTTGTTTCAGAGCAAAAATCACTAATCTAAAAAAAAAAATAGACGACACCAGTTCGGCTTTATCAAATGAATTATCCACAAACGAATCGATCCGTGAAGAAATAGAAATAATAAGTACAAGTAGCCTACAGCAAATAAATATTATGAAAAAATTTGCCCGAGATAGTCTAAATAGATACACGAACGAAGTTAAATGTCTAAAAGAATTATTGACTGAACTTCAAAGTAGAGAATGTGAAAACTCTATGATGAAGAAAAACGTAAATCAGTATAATATTAATATTAATATTACCATCATAGCTATCATAGTATTATTATAGTACACATATAATTTGCAATACACTTATTATTATTACGATGGATATAATCTACTGTATATTTGATAATATTTTTAAATAAATTTATTCTAATATTTTTATTATTATTTTAGGTCATAGCTAAAATAAAAGAAAAAACTAATTTGCTTGACCTTACTTTTCAAAAAACTATAGTAGATGTTGACAATGTATTGAAATTGTTGGAATGAATACTATTTTTCGAACAATTATTATACTACTATGCTATTATATTTATTATTAAAAAAAAAAAATTTTGTTTTCTATTGAAAATAAATACAAATTTATTGGAAAAACAATGAAAATATAATTATATACATAATTTTACCTGTACAAAATTATGGATCATTCATTAAGAGTGATGAAAATTATATATAGATAGAAAACTAATGAATTGGTAAGGAGGATGCTTGTCTCCCTAAAATTGCTGCAATCGACTTTGTGAACTTTTTTGATATAGTTGGCTAGATCAAATTTTTAAAAGTCAGCCAATCTTCCAAATACACTTGGTTGCCTCCCTTAAAATAATGACTTTGAAACGCCCTTGAGAATAAAATATTACTTATGCAAGTTTATTGGCTCATTATTGATAGTAATATGTTCTAACTATTCTAATAATAATTTAACAATGTATGCACTTGTGTACTTTGAATTGCCTTGCTTTGAACAAGTCTTTATCTAAAAAATGATGTAGACGTTATTAATATTATCGTCTACTCATTTTTTTTTTTTGTCATTAAATTATATTTTTATTATTATTATTATTACTATATAATATTATACAAACTTCCGCTCGAGCGTGTGTATTTAAAATAATATGAGTTTGTTTGTTTTAGTTGAGTAAAATAATAACAAATTATCGTAATAATACGATTATGTTGTTATTGACTGCAGAATATACTATAGGGACATGTCACTTTGTCATCAATTGTAGCCTATACTCGACGAAGGACAAGGAGGCTTAATTGACCCTTTAGATTGCCTCATATCCAAAACGGTTTCCCTCTCCCTAGTCACCAGTTTCGTTGATAAATTATATTAGTTACTACCGCTGCACGCACGCATAACCAGCAATACCTTCTCTTGCTCCCCGTGTCAGCATTTGTATCACCCACACGGACGCTGTGTACGATTACAACAGTCAGTTGATTATAATAGTGTATTGTAAATACAACCACCCAATAATATTATGGTCGTTTATGTATCGAAAACCCTTCGGTAAAAAATCGGTTCGACGCCGATAAAAGCATGTGGGAATCGAACATTTTGGTCATTTGGATATATTTAACGGTATTACTGCCTTTGAACCAGACTATCCCCGCGGATACAGAACAAACCGAATGTGATCATATAGAAAAGTAAGTTTCGTATAACTTATGGTTCATAAATACTGTAAATTTCTGCAAATTTTTGTTATTTCACTTATGATTAATGAATAGTTACGATGAATTGGTCACTATTAGTTCTGAGCAGCCTTATATAGTCAAAAAAAACAAATGGTGTATAAAAATCCCTCCAAGATGTTCGGAAGATAAAACAGAATTTAGGACTGTACAAAAGAACGTCGTGAGTATACTTTTAGAATAACAATGTGGTTTGACTTTTGTAAAAAGGTATATTTACTTTGAGTGTAGACAGTGAATAAAACGCGGGTAATAAAACAATGTTGTAAAGGTTACATGAGACTGAATGGTAGCTGTGTAAATATTTGCGATCAAAGTCAATGTCCAGACGTAGTTTGTAGGGAAGACTATCAGAAATGTTGGTGCAATCCAGGCTTTACTGGCCTCCTTTGCCTGTCAAGTAAGTTATGAATTTTTTATTTGCCAATTTTCAATTTATTTAAAAACAAAATATGGCAATTGAAAATGGCTCAATAAAACATTTAGCGACGCAATAAACAATCACGTCATTAAAAATAACCAAATACATAAAATAATAGAATAATATTATACAATAAAGATGAAAAATATCTAAAATATTGAATTAAAAATACGGCTTTATACAGAAGGAATAGATTCTATTTTGTTTAATGCAAACATATGACATTTTTAATGAGAAAATCTGTAAAGAGCAAGCATGAAAAAAATATCAATATTTCGAAAAACTGATATTATTTTATTACTGGATATTAAATCATTCTTCATAAGATTTTATTAATATCAAAATGTCGGTCATGTTACTAACTGAGTCATATCACTTAGATATTTATGTTTTCATAACAGTAAAGGATGCACACAATCATCTTTAATTTTTTGCTAGTTATTTGTACTATAATAATAAATAAAATTAAAATTAAATCAGTTTATTTCTACAGAACTGTAACTAAAAATTTTCAAGGGTCGTCTGAAAAAATGAATCAATTGCACCTTATTTTAACAATGAAAAATGAATAATCCTTGATTTAAACTACTCGTGCATTATATTTTTTTAATAAATGCGCTGTAGTTAAACTCTATATTTCATTGTGTAAAATTGCTTTATAAAATTTACCATTTTTCATTTATTGAGAGTTGTTTTCATATATTTATACATGCAATTAATAATATGCTTAACTCATATTTATTGAAAATCTCGCTTTATTTATGACATTCTATTCTCTTCTATTGTTTTATAATACAAAATATGAAATTGAAATACAGCAAGAATTCTCCATAAAAATCCCGGTATATAAAACTTGTATTATTTCCACTCATTTTTCTTATCGACTTCGTCTACAATTAAGGATACTATTACTCGTCATGTTAGCATAATGCCTTGCATTTTTCACATAGTAATTAGAAAATATTTCTAAATTTGTCCAACCACCTCGTGTTCAGTATAATAACATTATTGTAATTAACATCTTTAGTGTGTCAAAACATTTATTACTATATACTATATTATTATTATTATACTCATAGAAATTTATGTATTAAAATATTCTGGTTAAATTACATTGATTATCATTTCAGACAAGATAAAATATACAAGATAAATATATTTATTTTATTTTTATATAAAATAAATTAATAATTACTATACTTAAAGTGACAAATAACTGTTTCATTAAGTACAATTAGTAAATCTAGCAAAGTCATCAAAAGTAAATACAATTATTTGTTTATTCTTTAATAACAATGTTATCAAATTAAATAAAAAATAGTATAAACATTTTCTGATAGCGAAAATTCATTGTATTCTATGCAAAATATTCAAAGATCAAATTTTGTCTAATATGCTTCTTCAAAACTTTGAGGTATAATGTCCACATATCTTACTTTTATTTTTGTAAATATATTTTTTTTCATGTATTATTTTTTACAGTTTAAATCACTTTCAATAGTTAATATCCCCAGTTATAACATGGATATTTTAATACTTATTTAGTCAATCAAGATTTTATAAATTACGTTAAGATTTTATTTTATAATTTATAGACAGAAATTATAAATACTCTTAAATATTTAAATTCTGGTGTTTTAGTATTTAATAACTATAACTACAAAAGATTTTGTGCGGGTATAGCGTTTTTTAATAACATCTCCATTTGGAAGTGTACAACTTATATAAAAGTTATTTATGAAATTGTAATAATGTAAACTTCTTTGTAGTAATATCGGCAATAAAATTTACTTATTGAATCCTGTATTTTCGTATTTTTATTATATATCCACACAAAATTTTTAAAAGTTACTTTTATTAATACCTGAATAAATAATATATTAATATCTAAATAAGAATACATTAATTATTAACTTGATACGCAGAAAAAATGTTTTAATCGTTGTAACATTCATGTATGAAGTTGAAAATTGATTTTTTAATATTTCAAAAGTTTAAAAACTCTTAATTGTGGAATATAGTTGTTATTTTATCATTGTAAATAAATAAATTTATTCATTTTGAAACAAATATGTTTAATACTTTTATCGTTATTTCAATTCTATCAAATATACAAAATAATTTAGAAAAAATGTTTTGATATAAAATTAAAGCTCTCAGATAGTATTTAAATTTAATTACCGTATCATTTTCAATCGAACTATTGAACGAATATATAGATATAAGTCAATAATTCTGAGCCATCACTATATTATTAATTATTATTAATAAACTCTCAAATTGAAAACTAACATTTTTATTTTTATTTATCTAATTTTATCTATAGTGTTATATTATAAATTAATTGTCAGTATTATTAAGTTAAATTATTTAATTAATACAAGGGTGCGACCCACAGAAGGATTCTTATTATTTTTTAAAGTTGTCTTAAATTGTGGGTCTTATTTCTAAATAATTTTTATATTTTGTTAATGATATATATATATATTTACTTTATTACTAACATTTATGAAAATTATTGTTTTAATTAATTTTATGTGTCACTCAATTACAGTTTAATTAAGTAATATGTAAAATATAAATGACCTTAATTGTTAAATACTTATTTAGTACATATTATTAGTATTTTTAATATTTTTAATTAAGTTAGATCATTATTTTTGTCATAATTATATTACTAAAAAATATACTTTTTAAAATAACTGATTTTTTATTAGAATGTATCCAAGGAACTTGGGGTGATGGATGTCTAAACTTTTGCAACAATACTTGCAATAATAGCTGTGATCACAAAACCGGATATTGTCACTCAGAAATAAAGATAAAATTTAATGAAAACGCAACTAACGATCTCATCAAAAACGAAAAATCATTTTTTTCTTCAGTAACGTCAGATAACCTCCTAACTGTAAATGGCAATGAAAATTCAACAACTGCAACTACAACGATGACTCAAATAATAACAATACAATCAAATACAACTTCAACAGCAGCTAAAGATGTGCCAGCAACTAAACCGACGAACGGTAGTCAAGGAAGTTATTATAGAGACTTATTTATGACAGTCACCAACGCTAAAGCTACTGTGTACAAGTACACGACCTACGACCATAATGACTTGATAAAAAAACTCATCTGGATATCTTCTTTGACTGTAGCTACATTGGCTATGGTATTTGTTATCATATTGGTGGTATTTTTCAAATGTATTACTCCTCCGGTGATGACAGAAAGACCAAAACAAGAACCTAGTACATCTGCAGACTCTAAAAATGGTGAGCTTCTTGTCCACATATAGACAAAATACAAAAAAAAATTAGTTGTTCATCAATTGTTATATATAAAGATAAACAGAGTCATTAATTTATCGTTAACCACTAAATTTGCCCTAAGATAAAAATAATTTAAAAAAAAAAAAATTGATCTTTTATTGTCTTTTATGTTCATATTTTGTTCCTTTAAATAGCTCCAACTTGTTTAACTAATTCATATAACAGAAAATGATTCAACTAAAAAAATGACTAAGCGATAACAATTTTTGATTCAGTATTTTGAAGTTATTAATATTTTTAACACAATAATCATATTTAACAATCAATTTAGACATTAGAAAAACTATGACAGAATAAATACCAACATTGTATCAAGATTTAATTTAAATCTTTGGATCATTGAAAATATTGAATCAAAATTTGATCCGTTCAAGATCCTTAATAGAAAAAACATTTTGTTTAAAATTATTATTATTTTAGATACATATAAAATCTCATTCAGTATGAACCCAATATTAGACAGATATACCAAGCCTCCAAGTAATTCAGGTAAAATAATTTAAACATGAAATCATATACTTAGATAAATTATAATTCATATAAGTCATAAATAATAAATAATTATTATTTATTATTCACCTTATTCATTTTTATTTTTTAAGGCACTAAAGAAGCCATGTTAGTACCGCCAGAGACTTTTTGTCCAGTTTTCAAAGCGCCATATTATACAGCTGGTAAATATTCAGTATTTTTAATTTATTCATATAAATTATTTAAACTAATAATAAAGTATTATGTAGTTTCAAATAAAATATTTTGAATTTTAATCAAATTTTATACATTTTTGCTCGATTAAGCTTTTTATGAACTAAAAGAGAATGATATTAACTTATTTTAATAAAACTATGTATCCAACAATTGCATGACATTAATTTCACAATTTATTACAGATGGATGTGACATATATGATTATCCTCAACCAATATATGAAATACTTTGCTGATTATTCATAGTGTATGATATTTTAATAATATTTTTATTGAAAATTTCTTAAATATGTTTATATAAATATTTTAAAACGTTAGTTTTATTTAAAATTGTTAAAAATGCGTTTTTATTTCAATAATGTTTCATTTTCAAATATATACATATATATATTAGTTTTATATTTTTCGTTTTTATGTCAAAGCCCTAAATATTATACTCAAAATATGTACATAAAAATTATTCTACTAACAGTTGTATAAATAGTTGCCATTTATTAAGGCGCTCAATATAAGTATTTCCTAATAAAAATGTATGCAGTATTTATATTAACAACGCTAATATTATACTATATAGAATTAATCTGTCATGTTTTAGCTTCGTTAGCGAAGCTGAGAATGTATTAATTTTACAATGATGTGGTTTTTTTTTATTAATTTTTTTTTTTGTAACTGTTAACGCTAACAGTTACAAAAATTAAATTTANATAATATATATATATTAAATTAAAGCTTATTTAATATACTTTAATACAAAAAAAAAAATTGACCTCTGGACTTGTCTACATAATGAAAATGACTGCCGTATTCAAAAATATCCTATTTTTGTAAAAACAAATCTTGATATAATATTTTACATTTTTTAACATTATGTTACTATAACTTTTTAAAAAATGCATGAATCAATTTTACTCTTTAATGATAAATTCTTTATATATACCTCTTTAATTCGACATACTTTTTTTTTAAATCGGACCATTTCCCTTTATACAGAGGGGTTCAAACTTTTAAAAATGCAAATAGAAAGTAGAACTTTTTCAACTTAACTTTTGAAAATGTTCCGGAAATACTGACACTTTTATATATACCTTAAATTAAAACTTATGTAATATACTTTATTTTAAAAAAAAAATTTGATCTCTGGACTTGTCTTTATGGTGAAAACGTACATAAAAGTTAAAGAATAACGTACAATTTCCGTGAAAAAATTATCGATTTTAAATTTATATTGCTATAACTTATGGAAAATGTATGGATCAATATAATTAATTTTTTAGAATAATTTTCATATACCTCAGATATAGATATTACAGATAAATTAAAATTTAGAATAAATAGTAATATTTGAAAGGTATCTACAAAAAAAAAAAATTATTGATTTGTTCATTTTTATAAAAATTATAGCAGTTTTAAGAAAAATAATTGAAAAAATGTCTAAATTACTGATTTTTTAAATTTTTATTAGGGTATTTCCCCTATTAATAGGGAACGAGGTAATTTTTTTCTATTTTTTAGGGTAATGTCTTCGACTAGATACAATTTTTGAACTTTTGACGTATTATTCATAAAAATCGGTCCAGTGAGAGCTGAGATTGAGCGTTCACAGACGCACAAAAAAAAACCAAGCACAGGGGGGTCGCGGCACAGTGGTGACATGGCATAGTTGGATCAAGTATAATGATATCTGACAGTGATTAAAATTACTATAAAAAAAAAACGCTTCAATGCAAATCTTTAGATAGTGTTTAATTTTAAAAATTGGTGGATTATTCCAAAAGCTACACGATCTGCTAGTTCCTTATTAATATCCTGATTAAGATAAAGTATGTCGAATGAAAGAGTGATTATTAAAAAATATTATTTCTCATAAAAAAATTGTGTTGATCCATACACTTTTCAAAGAGTTATATCATTATAAAGTTAAAAATGTAAAAATTAAAATCTAGAATTTTTACACAAAAATAGCATTTGGTAGCCATTTTCACCGTGAAGACAAAATAAAGTCCGAAATTTTTTTTTTCATAATAAAGTACATTACATTATCTTTAATTTAATATATATATAAAAGTGTCAGACTTTCCGGAACACTTTCAAAAGTTAAGTGTAAATGTACATTTTTTGTGAAAAAGTTGTCATTTTAAATCACCCCTATGGGCAGGTAAAGGGTTAAATTTATGAAAATAATATTGTAAATGATAGGTAAAGACATCAAGCACCTATAAAAAAAAATTATATTGATATGTTCATTTTTAAAAAGTTATGGCAGTTTTTAGTAAAAAAATTGAAAAAATTTCGAAAATTAGCGGTTATTAAATTTGTAATTTTTTTTGAGGTTTCTCCCATTTACGGGGAACGAGAGAAATTTTTTCAATTTTTGAGGGTAATGTCTTCGATTAGATACGATTTGTGATCTTTGACGTATCGCTGAAAGAAATCGGTTCGGTGAAAGCTGAGAAAAAGTGGTAACAGACACAAAAAAAAAACACATTATAGTAAAATCAATACCTTTTCAGCTTCGCATCGAAGCTAAAACATATAGTAAAATTAATACCTTCTCTGCTTCGCATCGAAGCCAAATAATTAAAGTTACAAGCATATTAAAAAATATACTGAATTTCAACTTTCCTTGAAGAAGATAACAAGACCTTTCGTGTAGTAAATGGGTTTACTAATATGTTACACACCATCCATAAAAATTTGGGAGATATACGTGATTATAAAATATATACACAGTTAAATATAGTATATCCTTGTAAAATATTTTATATACTATTCAAACTAACTAGGTTCTTATTGTTTTTATTTCATTAACTTTACCTGAATTCATGGAAAACATCTAACGTTCTTTATCATTTTTACTACATTGAGTAGGTATTCTTGTTATTTTCTTTAGACTTAAAACTTGTAAATTTACTGATACTTAAGTAACTAAAAGTTTTAATATTAGAAGAAGCAATTTTTCGTCTTTTATTTGCTTCCTATGTCAATTACTCAATTATTTGTCATTTGGGTGGCATAACTGATTTGTCAGCTAAGAGTAAACTATTTAATTTCATTTAAATAATAGTACAAAGTAGATGTTTGTTAATGTTTATTAAGATTTGTTTAATAATAAAGCCATTCCAAACAAATATAGTCAGGTGATTACGACAAAACATGACGAACAGCACATTAAAGTCCATCGACCATTTTTATAATTGACTATATTAGTTCATTAATAACGCATCAATTAGTTAATTATTTAATATAGCTAATTTAATCTAATAATATCATCATTATTACTATAGCAACACGATTGATACGTTTAATTTGTTCAATATTATATGATCCCATAGAAGTGTCACAGATGTTATCTCTAAAATGTATTCCATACAATTAAATAACTTAAACAGCAATTCTAAACGTACAAACATATATTTTTATTTTTGTTTATAGAAGAAATGAACATCAATTTCATCATTTTTTTATAGGTCTTGCTATTTATGATCACTGTCCAGCTCAAAAATATATTGCATTAATAATAAATATGTATAAACAATATGAGGTTCTTTTACAGCAGATAACATTCATTAATTAACAATACTGACCCTTTGGTGGATAATGAAGTTAAACCTTTAAAAATAAAAATCCCATTGATATTTAAAGGTTTTTAAAACCACTAATTTATGGATAATTTTTTTGTCAATTGTTGACAATGAACATAAATAATAAATAATTATTTTTCTGTATAAAAATTGGTTATTTTGATAATCAAAAATATAATAATAAGGCGAAATGAAGAATGATATAAATATATTGGTTTACTAGTAAAAAAAAAAATTATTTGTGTACAATGTAAGTACATACAAGGTATGTAATTATTTAAGGAATGTCACTCGGTGATATGGTGGCTCCATTATTTTTTAAGACATAAAGGAAGATTATCAAGTATAAAATTAATGACAATATTTTATATAAATGCATCAAATGTTTGATGTTCTTTGAATATTTGCTTAAAATCGACACAAATTTTTATGTTATGTCTAACTGAAGCAGTATTTTTATATACATCTAATACTTTTAAACTCTTAGAGTAATGATAAATACTTTGGCTTTACCTTGACGAGTTTTTTTTAAACATTTCTGAAGAAATTTAGAACGAAGAGACGTTTATTCTTACTTGAGTTGTAAAATTTCTATATACATCTCTGATGGCTTTACTATTTTTAATTATCTAATCAATCGTCATTGAACACCTATTTTCAATACAATTGTGTGAATCAGGGATGTAGTTAAAGGGAATAAAGTAGGTAGACTTAATTATGTTACTGGTATGAATTTTAAATTACTAAAAATATTTAATTAAAACTAAAATAATAGAATTAATAATAATCACTTTGTACTACTTTGTGTTTAAATAAATATACAAAACCAGGTTAACATATATGATTTTATTGTTATTACTCATTGTTATATTCCAGATAACATTTTTTTTAAATAATAATATATTAACACTAATATTATAAAACATTATTATTTTTTAATTCTACCTGGAATATGATTAAAATGTTCAAACTTAATTTAAAAGCATATTTATTTATTTTGTATCAAAAGCATTAATTTTTATTAATTTTCTATGTGACACCATACTAAAATTAATGAAAGTTTTTGTTTTTGGTACAAATATGATTAATAAATATATTTTTAAATATCACTTATATCCATGATATGATTTTCGCGCTATAGGTTCATCACATGTAATTTAACTGGATAGTGTTTTAATTCATTTTGCTTTATATTTAAATACGATAAGTAACAATGTGTCTCAGTTATCAATTAATGAGAGTATAAGCATATCAATTTTATTAACTATTATTATTAATATTCGACCTAATCGTAGTCAATCTTTAGGTAGCTCGAAATACAATTATAAACTCGAGAGCACTTATCATTTTAACTTCTAAATGATCACTTTTGTAAAATATTGCGATGTAAACTTGACGTTGGTAATTTAACTATTAGTGTTGTGGTAATTAATGGCTATATATTTATCATAAAATAAATTATTTTTATTTGCATAAAATTATTTCGGTTGTGTTAAAAGTGTCGAATTTAAAAAAATAAAAAATATTAATAGTGTTTTTAATACAATTCAGTTTCCGAAAAGGTCATCAAAGTTAGAGATTTTTATACTAAAAATGTCGTGCACAAGTCGTAAGAGGTATGTATAACAACCTAATTTTTTTTTTCTTAACAAATAGTTTCATTTTTTAAATAGTTGATCCTATCATATTGATTTTTATTTGAAAAATCTGTAGTTCTCTATTTTTTTTAACAAAACGAGTCATGTAGTAGCAAAATTATAAATTTTAAAATGAGTTTGCCCTTTAACTTAAACAATTAGCTATTTAATGTCAATATAA